AGCATCTCGACATCAGCAACAACGACATCAAAGTCATCTCCCCCAGTCTGAAATCCCTCTCCAACTTAAAAATATTTAGGATTCAAAATAACAAAATTATGGGTGTACACACAGAGTTTTTTCCATCAGCCTTAAAAAAATGTGATCTGAGTAAAAACAAGGTGAAGGTGTTGTCCTTAACTTCTGCCCTGGAGAAGCTGGAACACCTCAACGTTTCGGGGAACCTGATCACGCGTCTGGAGCCTGCTGGCCACCTTCCTGCACTGACCAGCCTGGACAGCAGCCGCAACATGATCCCAGAACTGCCCGATGGCTTCGGGGCATCCCTCCCAGGGCTGAAGTACTTTAACCTGTCAGGGAATAAGATCTCCTTTCTGCAGCGTGGCTCTCTCCCAGCTTCTCTGGTCGAGCTGGACATCAGTGACAACGCCATCACGACCATTGTGGAGTCCACATTCAGCCCGCTGACGAGCCTCAGGCTTCTGACTGCCCAGGGGGAGCATTTTTTCTGTACCTGCGACCTGTACTGGTTCGTGAACGTCTACCTCCACGAGCCCCAGCTGGAGATCAGGGGCAGGGGGGCCATGAGGTGCAGCTTCCCCCCGGAGCGCCGGGGTTTCCCGGTGGGCAGCAGCCGCCTGACGCTGCTGCGCTGCTCCCTGGGTGTCCAGCTGGCCGTGACCGCTGCCGCTGCCGGCCTGGCCGTGCTGGCCCTCACCGCGCTCTGCTGGCGGCTGGACGGGCCCTGGTACGTCAGGATGGGCTGGTACTGGTGCACGGCCAAGAGGAAGCAGTATGAGAAGCGGCCAGAAGACAAACTCTTCGATGCCTTCATCTCGTACAGCGAGCACGACGCCGACTGGACCAAAGAGAACCTGCTGGAAAAGCTGGAAAATGACGGGTTCAGGATATGTTACCATGAGAGGGATTTCAAGCCAGGGCATCCTGTGCTTGGGAACATTTTTTACTGCATAGAGAACAGCCATAAAGTGCTTTTTGTTCTTTCTCCCAGCTTTGTGAACAGCTGCTGGTGCCAGTACGAGCTGTATTTTGCCGAACACTGGGTCCTGAACGAAAACCTGGATTCCCTCATCATGATTGTGCTGGAAGATCTCCCACCCCACAGCGTCCCACAGAAATTCAGCAAACTCAGGAAACTGCTGAGAAGGAAAACTTACTTGAAGTGGAGCCCTGAGGAACACAAGCAGAAAATGTTCTGGCATCAGCTAAAAGCTGTCCTAAAAACAACCAACGAGCCGCTCGTGAAAGCGGAGAACGGATCTGCTCTGCAAATGCAGGAGCTGGAATGAGACCCAGGGAACTCTGAAGGCTGTGCCTGGAAAACCTGTGGTCAGATAAAAGCATTTACCTCCTGCAAAAGCTGCTCTGATGCCCAGGGGTTTGTCTGCATCAGTCCCAGGAGAGGCTCCTAGGGGGACTGCAGCACACTCGTTATTCCCTCTGATAAAGAATCCTGAAGGGATGAGAACCAAGCACTGATAAGAAGCCTTTTCCTCCTGGATGCTTGAATTTGTCCAGCTATTCCCAGCATTTCTTTAAGTGCTGTGGGTGTCACCTGAAAGGAAGAACTGCTCAAGTCATGCTGCATGTCCTTGCTGCCTTCCTGAGGTGGTGGCAGTGAGAAGCGGTGTCTTAGGGCTGGACTACAGATTCCCAGTTCTGGGAGAGCTTAAGGTGGGAACCTGCACACAGAGAGCCACAAACCATGCTGGTACACAGGGAGCAGCTCCTTTCTGTGCTTTGGCAAGAGAAGAGTAAAGATTGACTCAATTTAGCCCTCTGAGAGAGGCTAAACCCACTCTGCTGCAGACTTTGGGTTCAGTGACTGCTGGAAGAGATGAGACTTGAAAATCTTTTGTAAATTCAGAATAAAGTATGCAACCAGACAGTACAAAAAGGACCAGCTGTGTGTGGTGGTCTCTGCTGTTAAATGACTGGGGTGAGCTTTGTTTAATCACAAATCTCTGGGGAATAAGCAAGTTCTGTACATTATTGTTTACATTTAGGAAAGTTCCACCTCACACAGTGACCCTGACCCATTTCCAATGGATTCAGCACTACCTCTACATGGTCCTTGCCCTCACCTAGTGCCACTGGATAATTTTATTTATTGTACTTGGGAAAAAACAAAAGAAATTCAGCTGATCCAACTTTCACACTCAAGGGAAATCAACAGAGTGTTGACAGAAAATAAACACTGGGTGAGGACAAATTATTTGGTTTAGCATGATTTGGACTTGCTCCTATGATGAGCAAACACAAACAACTTCCCAGCAGAAAATCCCCAGTCCAGGAATGCAGCATGTTTGGAACACAGACTCTGAAAAGGAATTGGCTCTGCTGTGATAAAACAACACCAATACCAACCTATTTGCTGCCAAAAGGGGGAACATGCAACAGACACCTCCACTGACAGAGATCCCTTGGAACACAGTGCAAACCCACCTTTCCTCAGCAAAATGATTTGGCATCATCAGTTTTGAGGTTTTATATATTAGGATAAAACCCACAGTCCTGCAGGCCAGCAGCTGAAAAAGCCAACTCTTCACCACAGAGATCTAGGGCTTAAAAGACTGTGAATTATAAAAATATTACAAATATTTTTGTTCATTTAAGCAACCAGAAGTCATTTGTTAATGAGATTAATGAGCCACAAGTAATTAATCAGTTGTTTTTCTAATAACCTTGATGTTTTCCTCTTTCTAAACCACTCAGTGGTCACATTTCTCACTTCCTCTCTTCTCACACATTTTCCACCTCCACATTCTGCTGCTTCCCTCTCAATTCCACTGCTGCTTGTTAACCTTGCAGTGACTCTTTACTGGAGCTTTACTGGAGCTTTGCTGGTTCTGTGCTCAGCAGGCTTCTGATGGAAGAGACTAAGGGAAAAAAAGAGAGAAGTTACACTCCAAAAAGAGGCTAAACCAATTACTTTATCAAAAATTTGACTATTTCAGTCAACGATTCACTGCGAAGTTGTACCTGCTTTCCAAGTCCAATCTGGATTTCCTACACCCATGAACCTCCCACAAAACAGCTATTTAGTATACAGCTGCAACTGTAAAAGCAACTTAAATGAGGTTTTGTTCCTCCTGCAGATTAAAAGGTGGTGTGCTTTCCTATCTGGCACTGTGACACTGTGCAGATTAACACCAATATTAATTACACAGGTGGTGTTAAGGGCACAGCTGGCACCAGGAGTCAGAGAGCAAACTGCAAACAGCTTTGATGGGATTTCAGTTCTTTTGTCACACAAAGGCAATAAAACCTCCTGCTTGGCGCTTCTTGCTTTACTCCCACATGAAAACTCAATGCAAATGTTTTATGAGGTGTGAGTCGTTTAATTTTCAAACATGTGATGAAATTCCTGTGATCTAATGGCACAGGAGAAGTTGCACATACACACAGCAAACCTCCAAAACTGCCTCGTGTGTATTTTACCCTCCAGTACAATTTGTACTGAAGAGAAATTCAAATACAGAACAAGATCTTTCCATTATCTTTTATACTTAGTTTAAAAAGAACCACATTATTCATTTAGAGAAAAAAAATCTGGGCAGAGAGAAAAGATTTATGGAAATAATTTCCACTTCGCATTTGTATTAGAAAGTTGTTCACACTGATTTTATTGCAAGAAAGCTGGTTTGAATTATTCAGAATTAATTAATATTCAGTGTTAAACAAAGAACAGTGTTCCAGGAGAATCTTGAGAACAGTTTAGTTAACAAAAAGCCTGAACCAACAACGCACAGACAGCAATGATGTGGACATTTTTTGTTTCTAAAGTAACAAATCACGTTCCCATCACTGTCATTTTCCTGAAGATGTGGCACTTTGCTATAGCAAGGCATCAAAAGCCTGTGGCACAATTATTCTGGAGACACTGAGGCTCTGCTGAAGTCCACAGAAGCTGAAAGGTGATTGTTTGTTTGGAAGAGATCTGGCCACTTAGAGCAAGAACTGTCAGGAATTGAAATGCCCCTGAATTGTTCTCTCTCCCAGGGAATTCCCACAATAAGAAACAACACAAAGGGGTGAATTTATTAAAAAACCACTTCTGTTATTTGCTCTCTGTGTAGACCAACAGACAAAATTTCTAAGCAGACAGATGAACTCAAACTGATGTCAGACTTAACAAAACCTCAAAAACTTGTCATTCTGGTTTTGGAAATGTTAACAGCTGTCAGTTCTGACTGTCAGGAATATCCAAAACCCAATTTATACAAAGTCATGGGCAAAAGAGCAAGCAGCAACACGACTCTGTGCCTGACAGCTGACCAGTTAGGGAATTCCAGAGGTGACTGTGCTCCTCCTGGTCTATCAGTCACATAATATTGCAAAATTCATCTTTATCCTCAAGTAATGAAAGTAATTAGGTAGTGCATGGTAATTTCTATCAAATGGAAAACACTTCTCCAAATTATTTTGGGATGCAGAATGCCACCATCATTAAAATCAACGCCCAGCAGGTACTAATATAAATACTGCAGAGGTTTATCCCAGTGCCACACTTCCCAAAGTTCCTCCCCAGTGGAAATACAACACCGACTGAACACAGCCTTGTTCCACTTGAAGAAGCCAAAACTGAAATCCTGAACTTCAGCTGAGTTCATAGAAATTTTGCCATTTACCTCGACAGAAGCAGGGTTTCACCCTGTGAAGAAAAGGACTTTTGTTATTACTGAAAAACATTGATTCGTCCAACTCCTGCAAAGGGAAGAGTTTAAACTCAAATACTACCAAGCATCTTCCCAGTTCTTCCTTCCTGAAAATACTTATTTATAAAACTTGGCTTTATCATAGGATGGTTTGGGTTGGAAGGGACCTTAAGGATGATCCAGTTCCATCCCATGCCACAGGCAGGGACACCTTCCCCTGTCCCAGGTTACTCTGAGCCCTGTCCAACCTGGCCTTATGACATAATGAACCACACAATCATGGCATCTAGTTTTTTGGTTTTTTTTTTACTTGCCCAGCAGTAAAACTTAGCAACAAAACCACCCTCGTGCAACAATTCCAAATCTCAAATATCCCCCTTGCTGGCTCTCCACGGGAACTCCAGAGCGCGTCAAGGAGGCGCCGGCCCCGAGTTTGCTTCCAACGCAAACGGGACACGCTGTTTCTATCCCCTGGCGGCAGCATCAAGGAGTTTGGCGCAATTCCTCCCTCTGGAACGGCTGGGTGGTGCCGAGGCTACACGGAGGGCAGCGGGATGTGCCTGGCGGGAGCGGCGCCGCCGGAGGGATGGAGCGCGGCGCCGCAGGGCTTGGCGAAGGCGAAGGCGGAGCCGGCGGGCTGCAGGCTGTGCGGGGTGCTGCCCTCCGCCGAGGGGCTGCTGTTGTACACGCTGTAGTAGGGCTCGATCCGCGTGTTCATCGGCGTGGAGCTGCTCTGCCCGTAGTGCTGCTGCGGCCCCGCCGACGCCTTGGGGCTCAGCACGCTGTCCTTGGAATGGCTGGCAGCGCATGCCTGCTCCAAAGCCTTCTTCTGAGGCTTCGGAGACAACATGTAGGCCGAGTTGGTCTCGTGGTGGGACGACTTGTTCCTGTTGACCTCCAGGCTGCCTTTGCCCATGGCTCGAAGCCTCGTCTTGTGCTTGCAGCAGAAAAAGACCAGGGCCGCGTACTGCAGGCACCAGAGCATGCGTCTCCGCAGCCCCGCGCTGTTGCGGGAATATATGAAGGGATTTAATCCCGACTTGAAAAAAATGAGGGTAAACCCACACAGCTCGAACTGGTAGAGCACAAAGCCACCGCTGCCGGACAGCATGTCCTGCACCAAGGAGATGGCCAGGGGCAGGCAGCACACCAGGACGGAGAGCACGATGACCACACACGTCACCACCGCCTTGGAGTCCTTGGCCGTGGTCAGGTTGACGGCCGAGGCCAGCGGGAGCCGGCCGACGAGCTTGGCGTGGCCGTGGGGCGGCTTGGTGCAGCTCTGGGTCCTGTACAGAGCGGGCACGGCCCCGGGCCCCGCGAAGGGCTGAGCCCTGGGGGTGCCCACGGCCGGAGGGCAATTACTCGCCCGCGCGTTCCTGCGCAGGGCCCTGGCGATCATGGCGTAGGACACGGACACGACGGCCACGCAGCAGATGAAGTCGGTGACGTAGAGGTAGAGGATGAGCTTGCCCTGCCCGCTGGGCAGGCTGGCCATGGGCAGGCAGAGGCGGGAGCCGCGGGTGCGCAGCGTGGCCAGCGTGGCCAGGGTGAAGCTGGCGGCCCAGAGCAGCAGCGTGAGCAGCAGCGAGCAGGGCGCGGAGGCGGCGCGGTGCGGGTGCTTGCCCAGCACCATGCGCAGCCGGTGCAGCGCGATCACCGCCACCGTCTTCAGCGACATGATGATGAAGCCGGAGCTGGTGAGGTGGAAGGTGAAGCAGAAGGTGCCGGGCACGCCGCGGGCCGGGCCGAAGAACAGGACGAAGGCGAACATGGGGGCGGCCACGCCGCAGATGAAGAGGTCGCAGAAGGAGAGGTTGAGGATCATGAAGTCGAAGTCGGTGCGGAATTTCCGGAGGGCCGGGTCGAAGAAGGAGAGCAGCACGATGAGGTTGCCGTAGGAGCCGAGGCAGAAGACGAGGGCCAGCAGGGAGGCGCAGGCGGCCAGCGTGGCGGCGTGGGTGCCCTCCCGCAGCTCCGCGGGGCCGCTGCCGTTCGCGCCCAGCTGCTCCGCGGGCCCGGCCGGCAGCCGCCCCGAGCCGTTCATCGCCGCCCGGCCCGGTCACAGCCCGCTCATCGCCGCCCGGCCCCGCCACAGCCCGCTCATCGCCGCCGCGGGGCTCCCACCTTGCCTCTTCACCGCCCCCTCAGGGCTCCCGCCCGGCCCCCTCACCGCCCGCTCACCCCCGCCTCAGCGCTGCCCGCCCCGCCATGGCGCCCGGCCCGGCCCCCCCCCGCTCCGCTCCCGCCGCCGCGGCGGGGCCGAGCCGGGGCGGGAGCGGGGGCAGAGCCGCAGCCTCCCCGCACCGCCGGGCACGGGCGGGCCCGCCGGAGGCGGCACCGAGCTGGCTGCAAAAAGCCGCGCTGGCGCTGCGTGCTCGGGGAGCAGCGGTGATGCGAGCGGGTGGAGCAGCACAGAGCGTGGTCTGGAGAATCACAGAAGCGTTCGGGTGGGAAGGGGACTGCAAGAACATCCCGTTCCTCTCCCTGCCATGGGCAGGGACACCTTTCACTAGCCCAGGTTTCTCCAAGCCTGATCATGGACATTCCCAGGGATGGGGTAGCCACAGCTTCCCTTGCCAGGGCCTCACCAACCTCACAGGGAAGAATTTCTTTCTAATATCCAATATGAACCTACTGTCCTTCAATTTGAACCTTTTCTCCCTTGTCCTGTCCCATGCCCTTGTAAATAGTGTTGCCACATTTTTCCAGTAAGTTTTCTTCAGGTACTGAAAGGCTGCAATTAAGTCAGGCTGAAGCTTCTCTTTTCCAGGCTGAACAATCCCAATTCTCCCAGCAGAGCTGCTCCATCCCTCTGATCAGCTTGGTGACTCCTCTGGACTCGCTCCAACAGCTCCTTCCTTACCAGGACCCAGAGCGGAATGCAGTGTTCCAGGCAGGGTCCACCTGGAGCAGAGGATCTCTGCTGACTGTGCACCAAAAAATCACCTGCCTCAACCCAAAACCTGTTCAGCATCAACATCAAAGCTCCGCATGCTGCTCCTGCCCTGCTTGCACTTCCTCATCCCTTTCCTGAGCCGGCTCAGTGGGGCCAGGGTGCCCTTTGTGTTTGCTCAAAAGCACAGCATCTGAGGCAAAGCACCTTCTGTGTTCCCATGGGGAGGGAAAACAATCAGCATCATTTATTTATCTGTTAACTGCCAACTGCTATCACAAATACAGTAGTGATGAAGAGGGTTGGATAGCTGAGCATTAGAGGGATGGGTTTGAAGTACTTACAGGGACGTGAGGGTGAGGAAACGCTCAGTGCACATTCTCTGAGGCAGACACAGCTGAAGGGCCTCCATGGCACTGGAAATCCACGTGGAAAAGACCAAAATCCAGCCAGGCAAGGCACAAAAGCATTATGAAAATACAGCAGAGCCAGTATTTCTGACTTATGCATGCACTTATCTTACATTCGTTATGTACACATTAATCTATTGTTTTTGTAACCATCCCCTACCCCAGGTGCTTTGTAGAACCATCCAGACAGCCACAAGTGTGCAAGTTTGATACCTGACAGCTTCCCAGTGCCACCTGCCTATTTTTCAACACATTCCTTTCTAAACCCCAGAGCAATGTTTTTGTAACCCTCTGGCTGGCGAGCCTTGCCCTGCTAAACACGCTCCCAGTGGCAACGGGGGTGGATTTGTTCTTGGGGGAAATGCCAGCAGCTGGCTGCAGCAGTGCCTTGCAGCCTGAGCAGGTGCATTTTGGCTTGACTTTGTCCTTAAACTGGCTGTGTACAGGAGAAGCAAGGTTCAAAACCCAAAACATGGTTTTCTGTGGCTTCAAATCTGTGTCCTCTCTCAGCCTGGCTGTCTCTTTATTTTTCCTTACTTGTATTTTTGTTTGCAGTCGTAGTTAATTTGAAATCTGTGGGTGAATCTTGGCCCTCATGAGTAAGAGTTGCTTTTTCATTGACAAACTGGATCTCCTCCTTGAATTTTCTTATTTATAAACATTAGAGGATGCTTTATTACGGGATTAAACAAGAGTGACAAAACGTTATCCTAATGCAAGAGTGGGGTTTGGGTGTTTTACCCCTCTACAGTTATTACCTGTGGCTTGAAATGGAGGGGAAATTGTAGCTGGTTCAAGGCTGCAAGACTTAAACATCCCAGCAGAAAATGAGAAGTGATTGTTCTCAGGGAGCAAGGGAATGAGCTGAGGCAAAAAGGATCTCCACGGGAGCACAAAGCCCTGCTCTGCCCCTGTGGCACAGCAAAGTGTCTCACCAGTCCATCCCTTTTAAAATGGACTTTTTACCTTTTAAAAGAATTACCAAAGTTTGGGTGGAGGAGAAAAGTAGTAGAAGAAAGTGTGTTTTGCAAGGTAGGAATCACAAGAGCAAAACTTGCCTTGCACAAGATACAAGGATATTTACTCTTTGCAGCAGTCAAGGCTTTCCTTAAACTTTAATTCCTTAAATTACTTTAAAAGCACTTAAAAATCCAGTGCTCTCTAGACATATCAAGCTTCTCATTGTTCAGTCTTGGAGTTCCTATTGTATAAGGAGAAACAATGTTCCCAAAGCATTTTTGACAACAGTGTTCTTCTACAGATATTTGCTGGAAGTGACTTTTAATTGTTAAAATCTGTCCTCATCTCAGCTGAAGATTTGTATCTTATGATTTTAACAAAAGAGTTCTAGGGAAAAGCAGCTGGAATATTAAAAGGGGAAATTAACCCAGAAAAAAAACCCTACAAATAAAAGCCAAGAGAGAATAAATAAGAGTAGCAGTGAAAAGCTTTTAACAGAATACTTTCAGGGTGAACTCATCTGGGCTTCTACCTGGACTTATTGTAATATGACTGCACTTATTCCTAGAACAGATTTATTTGGTTTATTGCTGGCTTTCCTAAGAAGCCAGTCAGAAATGATGGCATCTCATATTCCCAAGGGAAATGTGTGTCCATCTCCAGCTGCAGCAGCAAAATCTGCTCACTAATATTCTACATCTTGCAGAGTTTGTCTTTGACATTAAACCAGGCTGTAACTACCATTGCACCAATGCCCTGAGGACCTTGCTTGGATTAACCACCTGGAACCCCTTCCTTGGAGTAGGGATTCCTCTGCCTGCTGGCAACTGGGAAGTCTAGAGCAGGCTGAGGTTAAATCCCTCTCCTTTCATTAGAAATCCCCAGAAGTTGCCTTTCAGGTACTGCAGGATGCTATGAGGATGCAAAACATATCAGCTGGTAACTCACAGCAGCGTTAGAGTTAAAATCTTCCCAGGACAGTGGCCAGCAAACCCTTCTGCTGCCACAGGGCTTTATTTTCCCCCTTGCATCTTACCAGATTATTGTGTTTTCCACAGCCCTAGGGAAAAGGGAGCTGGAGGCTCTGCCCACAGGGCTTTATTTTCCCCCTTGCATCTTACCAGATTATTGTGTTTTGCAGGGAAAAGGGAGCTGGAGGCTCTGTTGCAGGATTCCAGGAAGCCTGAAGCTGTGGAAGGAAGTGTGAGACTGAGCAGGGTGTGGGATGCTGGGGATGCCTAACTGTGAAAAACTGACAGGAGACATCATCACATCATCCAGTGTACCCAGCACAGCAGTCCCAGCAGCCTGGGAAAGAAGTGAGAAGGGGGAAAGGGAGATACCTGGACATAACAGGAATACAGTCATAATACACCAGAAATAAGGAACTTCATCCCTTTGCCTTTTAAATGAAAACCCAAATCCATCAATTCATGAACTTGTTACCAACACAATCCATCAACGCTGAGACTGTGGTCCCACCCAAAAGCACAGGTTAAAAGTATAATTTGCCTACTTGGAAATTTCCTTATATATCAAAATAAGCATCAAATATACCCATGGGGAGATCACACCACTTAGCAAGTCACTGAGCAGTAAGTCACTGGCAACTTGAGCGACCCAAATCCATCAATTCATGAACTTGTTACCAACACAATCCATCAATGCTGAGACTGTGGTCCCACCCAAAAGACAGGTTAAAAGTCTAATTTGCCTACTTGGAAATTTCTTTATATACCAAAATAAGCATCAAATATACCCACGGGGAGTTCACACCACTTAATGGTCTAGCAAGTCACTGAGCAGTAAGCCACTGGCAACGTGAGCACTTAAAAACCAAACCAAACCCCCAAAAAATCCAACAAAAACCCCCCAAGCTCAACAAAATAAAACACCTCCCAAACCTCCCAAATTCTGCCTTACATCTTTGCCTTTCTTTGGTGCTTCCCCATGATGGTCACAGGTTATCTGTGCAGTCTGACAGGTGGTCACTAGGGATGTTGAAGCTATCAAACTGTGCTCAAGATATTTTTCCATCTTCTTTCCTGTTTCAAGGGGAAAACTTCTCTCTTCTCATGCTAGAAGTCTCTCCCTCTCCAGACTGAGGCACTGACAGTATATCTTGACAGCTTCAGGGAAGAGACAGTATAGGACATCAGTGATGAAAGTTCAGAATTCAGGATGTGGGTGTTGCTTGGGGAAAGTTAGGGAATAAATCCAGTAATGCAGTTGTGGTATTTGGTGAAGATTTGGTGGTAAAAAAATTGTTCCTGCATTTTCAGGACTAACAACCCTTCCCTCACCAAAACTCAACCAGCACAAGTTTGCTCACACTACCACAGGTGTATTTTATCCTATAGAAATGTATTTTGAATATTTTGCTGTATTTACCAGGGGATCTCTTTGGATAAAGCAATTTACTGTCGATTTATAAGGTGTTGGGAATTAATACCACTCCTGACTAGAGCATGATTCCCAACAGTGCACTGAAACCTCAACCAATTCCAGCTACACCCTGACTAAAGAAAAGAGATTCCCAAGTACAGCACAAAGCAGCAGAGCTGCAGAACAGCACATGCAATATCTGCTCCAACACTTCATCAGCCAAGGATCCTTTAGAGATGATCCTCTGCAGCAAAGGCTTTCCATCACTTGTAAAGATTTAATTCCATCACTTGTGAAGATTTAATTCTATCAGCAAAACCCTCTCCAACAAAAACTAGTTTCTCCAGTTCTCAGAAGTTAACAGGTGTTTTCCTGGCACAAGGTATTTTTCCATAAATGTAAAAGCTGATTTCCTAGACATTAGAACAAGATCTTTAATTAATCCTTAATGATGCCTTAACTCATTACCAAATCCCAGGACAAACACAGGCCTCATCCAATCTCAAAAGCACGGTAAAAACCTGAAGTTGCAGTCTCAAACCAGCACATTTCCTCTTTAGAAAT